GGGGAATGGTTTAATTGGTAGCAAGAATAACTTTGATTGTTAATTCATTTCGTAATTGAGGGGTAATAGATTTTTTATTGTTGAAACTTTTAAGGTATCATGGCTTAAAAGGATATTTGCAGGCGTTTCTCTTAAATAATATTCCTTTGTAATAAATATTTTTTCATTTAATAAAATTTATATAGGACGTAATATGTTCTCTTCTTCTAACTTGGCTGTTAATTAATTAAACTTCCAGAGATTGTCTCATTTCCCAGCCCATTTTCCGCATGTTGTCAATAAAGTAATTTATGGGAAATCAAGCCATCTCCAGCTTCGATCTATCTCAGCCTTATTCATTGGCCCTATATGGCTGTGCATTGTTTGCAAATCGCTTAATTATTGTTTCTTATATTTTATTGGGTCATGGAGCCATAAAAGGCGGCCACAACGGCCACGGTGCCTTTTTTGGGCCTACATCAATGGCGCTCGTCTCCATTTTCATCTCCCCAAAGCCCCATCCACTGTCATTTCCACTTCCTTTTTGCCTGAATGTCACATTCTCCTAGTTGCCACGACCTAAAAGCATAAATTTCCCGTGGCTAGGCCAAAATCAACGCCAAATGCTCTAAACGTTTTGCTTATGATTTTTATTGCACGCACACAAGCCAGAAACTTATTCAGATATATATACATATATATGTGTGTATTTCTTCTTCCTTTTTTCATATACAAACTGTGTAGACATTTTGCCGCAGCCTTAAGTGCGAAAGCTGCAAAAAGGGAAAAAATAAGGCTACCCCTGCCGATGACTTGTTTACGGCAGGCGACAGCCACGCCCCTTTTATATTTTATATTTTTTGGTTTGCCTATATGGAAGGCGATCACTTGGTTTATTTCATTAGGTTTCCTTTGATGAGCCGTTCTACATATTTTTGCATTATTTACAAGTGAATTTTTGAGCGAAGCTATTTTGCTCGTAAAATTATAGCATACTTTTGTGGAGAGAGAGCCAGAGATCGCTGGAAATACTGATGAACATGTTCTTACTTTTATAATATGCCAAGATTGCATTTAATATTTATAAATATGGAGGATTTGATTTATAAATATTACAGATTTTTTTAATTTTAAGTTTAATTTTATTAAAATAATCAATATTAATACTTTATGTTATAATAACAGGTTGGCTGATAAGTCCCCGGTCTAACAAAGAAAAACACATTTTTTTGTCAAAATTCGTTATTATTATTTAACATAGTTCCCTTCAAGAGCGATACAACGATTATAAAGACCTTCCAATTTTTTGATACCATTTTGGTAGTACTCCTTCGGTTTTGCCTCAAAATAGGCCTCAGTTTCGGCGATCACCTCTTCATTGCAGCCAAATTTTTCCCTGCGGGCATCCTTTTGAGGTCTGAGAAAAAGAAAAAGTCGCTGGGGGCCAGATCTGGAGAATACGGTGGGTGTGGAAGCAATTCGAAGCCCAATTCATGAATTTTTGCCATCGTTCTCAATGACTTGTGGCACGGTTGTTTTTGGTCAAATGTGAGCTCGCGCGGCACCCATTTTGCACAGAGCTTCCGCATATCCAAATGTTGATGAATGATATGACCAACACGTTCCTTTGATACTTTAAGGCCTATGCTATCTCGATCAACTTTATTTTACGGTCATTCAAAATCATTTTGTGGATTTTTTTGATGTTTTCGACGGTAACCACCTCTTTCGGGCGTCCACTGCGTTCACCGTCCTCCGTGCTCATTTCACCACGATTGAATTTTGCATACCAATCAATTATTGTTGATTTCCCTACGGCAGACTCCGGAAACTTATTATCAAGCCAAGTTTTCGCTTCCACTGTATTTTTTCCCTTCAGAAAACAGTATTTTATCAAAACACGAAATTCCTTTTTTTCAAATTTTTTCACAATAACAAAAGTTGCTTCACAAAAGACGCTCTATCTCACAAACTAATTGACTGACAGACGTCAAATTTTGAGACGAATCATTTAAAGGTTAGTACTATATAAAAATAATATGCATTCAATACTAGCGACGTCATCTATGTGTCAGACCGGGGACTTATCAGCCAACCTGTTATTTATCATTATGAACATTTTTAAATTTATCGAATATATTTTCTTCACCTTTATTGGCATTATCGTAATATATTTTTCACCACGCAGCCCTGCGAATGGAATTCCCATTATATAGATAAAATCGGAACAGTACGTGGAAATGGGAGCAGGGCAGTAAATTAAGTTTAAGTTATGCTGAGTATCTGCCATTCGTGGCTTCAATTTGGTGGCCTTATCTCGCCGCCTCTCTTTTCTGTTGGCACTTGCCAAACAATGTCAGTTTTCAACTTTTAGCGCATTTTTCAAATTAGGTTAGCGGAACAGTGGCGTGGCGTGGGGACGGAGGATGTTTGGAGGTCGCAGGAGGATGTTAGAATGTAAGAATGCTTGGGTGTGATGGTGTTGGCCCCAGTGAAAGTTTTCTTATTGTTTCGGGGGAGCGGAAGGGAAAGGGCTTGGCTTGGCTCGGCGGCGGTAGGCTTGTTAGCATCCTTCCTTCCTGCGCTTCCTGCGCACAAAAAAACCCACCATCTGCTGCCCGTTTAACCTTAATGTTTTGGGCTAACCCAGGAACCGCACCCTTCGCACCCACGCACCCCCTGAATACACTGGGGGAAATGGAACAGTCTGAAGAATTATAAATAATGAAATGGAACAATTAATGTTACAAAAATAATTTAAAATTTAATAATATGAATTATTGGACGAATATTATTCCCAACATTAACAACATTTTAAATATTAATTAAAAATTCAATCAAAATTATAAAGAAACCCTGTTTTCGTTGATTTAATATCTGTTTTATTTTGATGTGCATTTATTTTTCAATTCGTGCGCGTGAGCATCCTTCGTCCTGTCACTTTCGCTTCACATCCAAGCCCATCCCAGACGAAGGGACTTGGCACTTGAACGTCATCTCGGAGAATTATCAGCGACTGCGTCAGCATCTAAATATAATGCCCACCTTCTCTGCGAGAATCCCCGCTTGCCCTTTGTTCTTGCCCATCTCTTGGCCATTCGTAGTTGGCCAGGCTTTATACTCGCTTTTTATGCCAACACGCACCGTTGAGCAAATGTTGTGCCCAGCATCAGCAGCAGCAGTATGCTTTTAGTGCTGTCCTAATGAAATTTTTAAACGATTTTGTCTCACTTCACGGCCAGCAGCAGATTGAAGAGTGTGAATTACGAGCAAAGCTGCGAGGAAAATTCCCGGCGAGACTATTTGTAGCTTTCTGCCTGCTCGTCTTGACCTGATAAATGCTTACAAGGTTGGATTTAATTTGATTTAATTTTCCCGGCACGGAGAGGGCTAGAAACTAGAGCAAATATCACTTGATTTTATTAAGAAGTTTAGATATTTTTATACCCTTTCAGGGTATTATAATTTCAGTCAGAAGTTTGCAACGCAGTGAAGGAGACGTTTCCGACCCTATAAAGTATATATATTCTTGATCAGCATCAACAGCCGAGTCGATCCAGCCATGTCCGTCTGTCCGTCCGTCTGTCCGTTTCTACGCAAACTAGTCCCTCAGTTTTGAAGCTATCTCAATGAAACTTTGCATATAGTTTTCTATATACTGTCACTGCTATATATGTCGGAACGGGACGGATCGGACGACTATATCATATAGCTGCCATACAAATGTTCGATACATTTTTAGAAAAAAAATTATAACTTGGCTGTTTTTCAACATTTTTGCACCATTTTTGAGATATGGCCAACTTATATTATTTCAGACTTTCGATTTTAATTTTATGAAAATCGGACGACAATATCTTATAGCTCTCATAGGAACAATCGGGAAATTAATAGAAACAATTATAACCTCGTTGTTTTTTAACGTATTTTTATATACATTGAGATATGAGCTTTTGTTTTTATTTCAGAATTTTGGTATACATTTTATGCAAATCGGAAAATTATATCATATATCTGCCATAGACGCGATTCAACGTATTTTTATCTACTCTGAGATATAGGCTTATTTTATTATTTCAGAATTTTGGTATAAATTTTATGAAAATCGGACAACTATATTATATATCTGCCATAGAAACGATCGGTAGATGTAGAGAAAATGTAAAGCTGGGAATGCAAAACTGTAACTGTCAAACTGTAAACATAATAAGTATAGGTAAAATGTAAGGAAATAATATCTGCAAGGGTATACAAACTTCGGCGTGGCGAAGTTGGCTTCATTTATTGTTTTTATTTGTAATACTTATGTTATTTTAGTCAAATCTAATGATTTTCTTTGAAGTTAAAAGAAAAAACTAAATTATAATTAACATTTGATCTTTAATATATAATTTATAAATATTACGGTCCCTGAAAAATACTTTAAGTAACTTAAATGCTATTATATATAAATATCACATCTAACATAGGAACATAGAATCAAAAAATCATAAAATATAACTTTCCTCAGGTTTCATATCTAATATTCACTGTCATAATTAGCATGAGATGCTTCCTGGAACCAAGAGAATTTAACCTTTAATTAAACCTAATAGGCAAATAATTGAAAACGAAACACTTCAAAGCGCAAAGATTATTACAAATTTAAATGACCTGAAACACACACATGCACTCCCAATATATGTGCTTCGCACCTGTACAGGTGTGTGCGTGTGTGTTGCTATGGCTTTTCAGTTCGAAGGAAGCTGTCTGGGCCATAAATTCACTGCTGAAATGGCTAAGAGCAGCCGGGAGCGCACAGGCACAGCTGGAGGGGCTTTAATTAGAACACCTGGCCAACTAACACACACTTACCCCTCTCTCTTTACACACACACGCTCACACATTATCCGGTAATACTGTTAGTTTCCATTTATTTCAATTAAAAATTCAGTTTGGCCAAGGGGGAACATGCATAAATATTCATTGCTAATCACATTGACCTCACTCCGCCTCTCTCCCTGTGTCTCTGTTTATTGCAGCCAAAGTATTTTGTGATGAAGTCATGTGGAAGTAGCAACAACACGGACCGTGCAATTATAGGCGAAACTTAATTAAATGCCGCATCATTTGCAAACTGCAAAAGGGAATTCTTAACAATCGCAATAAAACTTTTGTCGAACAAAAGTAATTAAAGGACCTCGCACCCAATACCAATACACACAGGACACACAAACAAAGCCGCCTGCCTTCCTTGACGCTATGCGACAACAAAGTTGGTAAAAGGAGACGAGGAGGACGGCGAGCGGCGGAGTGGCAGGAGTGCTAGTCCTGTACATGGCCAGAAGCCAGCTGACGCTGCCAGCCGCAAACAGCTAACAGCTAACATCGAGGAGGTGCCGCAGGACGAAGGAGACGAAGACGGAGACGGAGAAGGCCAGCAAAATGCAGAAGGAGAACAATGTCACGGCGGAGAATTGCCAATTTGTGGGGCCCTATCGCCTGGAGAAAACTCTCGGCAAGGGTCAAACTGGTAAGTGCAAGGAAACCCAAAGCCCATTTACTTGGCCCGAGTGGCTGTATCGAGTGGAAACCATCAATATATCTATTAGGGAAAATGCCATATGGGCATTACATAGCCTCTATACTTGAATCTCTCATTTACTGTAATTACAAAAGCTGTCTGTTTTGATTTTTCTGCAACTTGGCAAAAATAGTTAGAGTGGTTTTAGTGGTAATAAATGGTTATTGATAAAGTAATTAGAATTAAAAGATTATTTTAAATGAGAATAAATTATATTTTAGAAAGATCTGATACTTGTTTACTTTTTGGCCTTAAGTAAACAAGTGTAAGATTTAATAAAATTGAAAGATGGCGCATTCGCAGATTGTTCTGCCCTTGCCAAATTTAGTTAGTTAGATTTTTTATATTATTAAATATTTAAATTGAATGGATTAAGGTTTAAAAATAATTTTTAATGAGATTATTAAATGTTTAAATAAACTAAACTATAGAACTTTTTTTAGAATATTCTATAAGGCTTAATAAAACCAAAGAGGAAACAAGTGTAAGTGTAAGAGAAGTGAAAGTGATTTTTCTAGAATTGAAAATTGAAAATTTTAGTTAGTTACCTTTTCGTATTATTATTTGGTTCTCTTTGAATGAATTGAAATGATAAGCAAGCATTATAGAAGCGATAAATATAGTACTAAAGTTACACAAAAATTAGCTCGATTCCTGCTTAATTGTCCTTCCTAATTGTAGGCTCTTCTCTGTAGCTTTCTGACTTTAATTAGGAAAACGTTTAGCCAACTTTAATTACTCTGCTTACTTACTACTTTAAAAACCCGCATTGTCATTATTGCAATCCATTTATCCCTTTGCAGGTCTCGTCAAGTTGGGCGTGCATTGTGTGATTGGCAAAAAGGTTGCGATTAAAATAATCAATCGCGAGAAACTCAGCGAATCGGTGCTAATGAAGGTGAGTAGTTACCGGGGGGGTCGAAGGTCATGACTCGACGGAAAGTTTCTTGTCTATTCCTATTTTTTATTGCTTTGCTCTCTTTATGATTTTGTTTTTTGCCCTATTCCTTTTGTCTTTTCCTTATTTTCTGTTTGTCTTCTGCTGTGGCGTACGAGTCATAAAAAATTGTGACAATAAAATTTGTTTTGTGGTTCCCTTGTTTTATTGTCCTTTTGCTCCTTGAAAGTGTAACGAAGTGACGGAGTGTAGTAGGGGTGACGTAAGGGCTGGAACAGTGCAGTCGAACTGCGGAAGGGGGAGATGTTTTTGGGGATTTTCCGGGCTCGCGGTTTCCTTCGACTTGGGAACTTAAGTGTGCCAAAGTCGGGGCAAGTCAAAGACAAAGATATTTTGAGCCTTAAAGTAGCCTAGTCTTGGGATATTTAAGGCCAACTCGGCTTTTACTTTAAGCCAGAAATACCAAAACGCATTTTCAGCTAGAAAGTATTTCAGAAATCTCTTTAAACATCGAAAAATGTAGAAAAATAAGCTGGGGAATTTTAGAAAACATGTTCAAGTAAAGGAATCTCATCATTAATTTAAAATTATTTTGTAAATACTGGAAGGAAGCTTACAAATAAATATTTAAAATTTAGTAAATAGCAATTATAATTTCACTATAAATAAATTCAGGGAAGTATCGTTACCCCTCAGTTGACCTTTTGCACAGTTTAGTCCTGTAATTATTGTCTCTTACCAAATCAACTACAAATTATCTTTCGTAAATATTCATTTATTCCGTAATCGATTTTCTGCCATATTCCATAATCCCTCCGCCTCCACATCTATTATCATACCTGTCCAAGTCCTTACTCCACATAGAATTTCGGACTCGCCGCCATTCAATTCGGTTTCAATAAAAGTCAAAGTAAAGCTCCAACTATTTATTTTTCCTCTCTCCTCCTTTGCCGTCATAATAAATCCCTGGAAAACTCCCGCTCTTCTGTGTATATTCATCGAGAGATATACCGAAAATGTGGTGCATTTTTTTTTTGTAGGACATTGAAAGGACATGGGACAAATTAGTGCGTGCGACGACAAAGTAAAACAAAATTGACTGCCTTTTCTGGGGCGTGGTGGGGCAGAGTTTTCGGGGGAGGGTGACTCAAGCTCAGACATGTAGGACAATCGAATGCACAAGGTGCCTGATGAGGTGAAGGATGGTGGGAACAGGGGTGTAAACGAGTATAAAGGACCGCCGATGATTGCGTGTGGTGTCCATGTTGTAGGACCAGCTGGTCGGGACACGCAATGAGAAATTGGACGCCATTCGGAGGACAACAATGGGCCATTATGGCCGACCAAGCACCAAGCACTTTGAATGCATTGTAAAGAGAGAGGTGCACTTTTAGAAAAACAACAAGGATATGAGCGACCTTAATTGAAGATTAGGAAAGAAAATATAGACTATATTAAGGAAGAAAATTGATTTAAATATAAAGAAAAGTTTGTTGAAATTGTAATGAGTTTATTCACAAAATAAACATTGTTTTCTTTCGTTAATACTTTTTTATTTCATATAATTCAAGTCATAAGTTTTTTTTTCCGAGTGCATGTTCATGGGGATCAAGCTTGCCAACATTGTCGATAAGTCGATTAAAATCGGGGTTTCCCTCTACTCCGCTCCACTTTCTCTCCGAAGGTTGAACGTGAAATCGCCATAATGAAACTAATCGATCATCCCCACGTCCTTGGCCTGAGCGACGTGTACGAGAACAAGAAGTATTTGTATTTAATATTGGAGCATGTATCCGGCGGCGAGCTCTTCGACTATCTAGTGAAGAAGGGTCGGCTCACGCCCAAGGAGGCGCGCAAGTTCTTCCGGCAAATCATCTCGGCGTTGGACTTTTGCCATTCGCACTCGATATGGTGAGTCGTGCTCTTTTTTGGAAACTCCCAAAGTCGAACTGCAATCAATATGGGATTATTTATTCCAGCCATCGGGACTTGAAGCCGGAGAATCTGCTGCTGGACGAGAAGAACAACATCAAGATTGCGGACTTTGGAATGGCCTCACTGCAGCCGGCCGGTAGCATGCTGGAGACATCCTGCGGCAGTCCCCACTACGCGTGTCCGGAGGTCATACGGGTGAGTCCTGGCTGAATAATGGCCATAAAATTGCTTTCAGCTCCCACCCCCTCTTTTTTTTTGTCGCCCCGACATCCCTACAAACGCATAAACGTCAATCAAGGCGAACTTTTTAGCACATTTTCAGATGCAGCCATGGCTGCGGCAGTGGCAGGAATCAGTGAAGGTGGCAGTATCCTGGAGTCGCTTTCCCATGCAAATTTTCGTGAGGCTCCCTTCTATGCAAATGCATCCTTGTCATGTGCGCATATGATTTCCCATCTCTGGCTGCGACACATCCTGACATGCACTCTGCCAAAAATAGAGTGTGGCTTTCTCTGAGAAAATTATTGATTCAATCCCTTTTTAATTTGAGGGAAATGGTCTATACAATGAATGTCCTTGCTTTGGGAAAGCTTTAGTTAGCTTTTAATAGCAAAGTCTCGTATTTGAATATTTTAAAAAATATATTTAAATATGTTTTAAGAGAAATGCAGTGATGCTATTCTTCCAGTGTGTATTGCATTGCTTTCCCTTCACGCAGGACATGCTGCAGCTTCTGGCGGAGCTTCATGCTCCTGCACCCGTAATAAATTCATAAGGGGAATTTTAAAATATCTCCTCGTGCCGTCTTATCATATATAGCCCGGCCAAGCTATAAATCTGACTGGCTACGTGATGTTAGCTTATCTATACGTAGATATAGATACATATATGTACCTTCTTTTATAAATATTCAGCTGTGGTAGTTTCCCCCACCACCTAATTGATGTCTGCTAACCAAATCTGCGCTGTGCAAGGGGAAAACCTTGACAATTTGTAGGGGAAAATTGCGTGGAAAGCCCATGTACTCAATCACTTAAGTGGTCGTTTATCAATCTTTGGTAGGGCGTGGTAGCAGGGGTTTAAGCCACAAGCAAAGCCTCAGGCTGGTTTAGGCTTACCTACAAAAGTCGGTTTGGGTAATCGAGCGAACACAAGGAGTATAATCTTACAAATTGGAGTTTTGAGAGTAGCTGTAATTGGAAAATGTGTTTATGAGTAATGCACGGCTTGGGGGACTTGTAACTTTTGACAGAGGATATACGTGAGGCACTTGTAGAAGGGTAAAAATATATTACAGATCTATTCGGATACAAATGGGAAATCATTAAATTAATGTAAGTTTTATACTTGAATCGAAGTTACTTACAATGTTGGTAACTAATGTTGCAGTTAATTACTTTAAAACATTTCCCAGAAACAATTTCCCTAGCAGTGCAGTAGGTTTTTCTTCCATCACATATATTTTGTATTATATATATAACCTTTTCCCTGCTAAATCACCTGTCGTTCATTATAAATTCCCCACCTTCGTGCTTAAAGATTTAGCTGGTTGCCTCTAAGCAAATAGGGGAACTGGAACCACATGGTCTGTAATTTACAGTCGTGCTGCAATTACATATTGTGTTTTGTGTGTGGTGTGGTGGGCAACAAACTGCGAGTCATTGTGCCATTTACCTGCCAAGTCAATAACCGTCCCCCGGGAAATGGCAGAGGAATGGCTGGGAACTTGGCATTTGATGGACACGTCAATGGACGTCACCGAGTTGAACGGACTGGACTACCCCCTTTGGGGTCTTTAAATAGAAAAGAAATAGAATAGGAGAAACTTTTTAAATTGGTAAAACCTTACCCATTGTCGCTTATAACGTTTCCCATATGAATGGAATGGTTTATCGATAAAAGGGGTGAAAGGTCCTAACGATTGGGGACCACGCACAATGGCCAATCGAATTTCCAAATAATCAAGCTGAAAGCAAACATAAATGAAATGTCCCCGGCAAACAAACAACCAAACAAACAAACAAATGGACAGACAGACACACAAAAAGATAGACATTCGCCCCTTGAAAATATCTTCATGTCTCAATTTCTGATTTTCCTTCTCCATTTCTCACATTTTCCTCTTTTCCAGGGCGAGAAGTACGATGGCCGCAAGGCGGATGTCTGGTCCTGCGGCGTAATCCTGTACGCCCTGCTGGTGGGTGCGTTGCCCTTCGACGATGACAACCTGCGCCAGCTGCTCGAGAAGGTCAAGCGCGGCGTCTTTCACATACCGCACTTCGTGCCGCCCGACTGCCAGACACTGCTCCGCGGCATGATCGAGGTGAATCCAGACCGGCGGCTAACGGTGAGTCATCCACAGTCATACATATTCCAAGTCCCCATCCAAACACACATCCTTTGCCGCACTCGACACCCGCAGCCACGCCCGCGGCCAAGTGCAGCGGTGACCCAACAATGCCCATTCGGGCAATTCCTTCTTTGACTGCCTGCACTTGAAGAAAAATATAAGTTTATCACAAAGACTATCAAAAATGTTAAAGGTTTTTTTATATGATTTTTATATAATTTATTTCTATAAAAAATGTTATATTTAATTTGTTATTTGATCGAAATTACGAAATTTACTTTAAGAATAATTATGTTTTATTTACAAGATTTAAAGCACCGTTTTCTATATATTTGTTCACTTGAAAAAGCGATAATAAATTGTTTATTTCAACGAATATATCGATATTAGCGTAAAACTAAAACAACCAAAAACTTGAGATCAAACTTCTATATAAACTATTTAACGGAAAAAATAATATTTAAAAAGGTTTTTATTTTTGAAATAGCCATATTTACTTAGGTAATCAGGCCTGCTCCGGTAATCGTAAAATTTTTTCGATTTCGTTTTGGGCGAAAACGAACCGTTTTGGTTTTTAGCTGCTCCGGTTTTCGGCAAATTTCTGCTATCGGATGTTTCGATTTCTCATCGTTTCTCACTGCTCAAGCAGCTAACTTGTGTTGTTGGTAATAAGCAAACAACGTAAAGTACTGCCTATTATATTTACAATTGCCCTTTTTCTAAGCCAGAAAAAGGCAAAAAATGGTAGAATTAAGCAAATCCAGGCACCTAAGATGCTGCCACACTTTTCACAGTTTTAATTCCGGTGGTCTCAAATAATTATTTGGTTAATTTGGACCATTTAAGTAATCACATTAAATAGCATTATTTATAAACAACCATTTTGGCGGTCCTTTAAAGTTATTAATGTATTCATTTATATTTTATAAGTATTTTTAACTGGCTGTTTCGTTCCACCAACAATATGGCAACCTTAGCGATAACTTTTTGCGGTGAACTTATCGACCTATCGCCAAACCGAGAAAACTGGTTGAACACGGCAAAACTTTTGTTGTCAAATCTGAGGTGGGGTCAGAAATAAATTTTTTATAAAATAACTACCTGCCAGAATGATCTTGTGGTGGTGTGGAATAAACATCAATAGACCACTGAGTAAACTATTTTTTTCCTTTTGTAAATAAGATCTGATTTCATATAAAAAAAGCCATTTACTTTTCATTCCGGCCAGAAAAAGGTGCCCGTTTTTCAAATCGAACAAATCTTTCGATTTCGATTACCGGAGCACCAATTTCTCGTTTTCAAAAACGAAAACGAAAAATTCTTGCCGTTTTCGATTACCGGAGCAGGCCTGAATAGTTTACTATTTAATTTAATTGAAAATTTTAAATTTGAAATCATACAATTTTTAAATGAATTGTTTGATTTAAAGGCAACTGCAGGTTCAAATAATTTTATAAAAAAAAAGATTACGGCAAAGGATCACCAAAGAATAACAGTGTTACATTTTTTTTTGCGAATGGGGTGGTGAGTCATTTTGTAGCCACCACCGGGCTTTTGTTGGTTTTTGGGTCAGCACGTTGCCCGGCTATTTACCCAGTCCCCCCTGGAGTTCCTCCCTAAAAACCAGTTTTGCTTTATTTTTTCCCGTTTCTCTTCTGCCGAATATCCATATATCCAGCTGGCCGAAATCAACCGACATCCCTGGGTCACGGCCGGTGGCAAAGGTGAGCTGGAGCTGGAGCTGCCGATGATGGAGGTGGTGCAAACACATGTCATTCCCACAGCGACTGCGGTGGATCCGGATGTGCTCAACGCCATTTGCTCGCTGGGATGCTTTAAGGAGAAGGAGAAACTCATCCAGGAGCTGCTTAGTTCAAGGTGGGTTTGAATGATTATTTGAATTAAATTAATAAATGAACTATAGTGAATATATATTTAATTTTCATGTACCTAATGTTTATTTTTCCTACACAGTCATAATACTGAAAAGGTTATATACTTCCTTTTGCTGGAGCGGAAGCGAAGAAGGCCGGCGCTGGAGGATGACGACGAGATTGCGCAGAAATCCCGCAGCGAACTGGACGCTGTGGATCCGCCGCGGAAGCGCCTGGACACCTGTCGCATCAATGGGACCAATGCACCCAGCTATGGACAGATCTCAGAGGGTTCACCGCTCACGCCCAGACGACAGGCCTTTAAGTAAGTCTCGTTTTTTGGCAACTTAAAGAACAGAATTTAATTTCTTTCACCACACAGCTTCCGCTCGTACAGCAGCACACGAAACCACCAACGGCGCTCGCCCACAACAGTGTCCTCGTCGGTGCGGAGCTCCTCATATCACAGTCCGACGCGCTGCAACTCCCCGATGAGCTCAGCCCAGCAGCAGGCGAATGCTATCTCTCGCCCATCCTCGCCGGCGGCGGGAACGCGACACTCCACGTACGGCGATCGCGATCGGAGCGGCCATCACTCGTCCGTCAGCAGGACGCCGTCGCATAGCTCCCAAAAGAGCATCGAGGGCGATGTAGTTGTGGTGCGGGAACCGCGAATCGAGCGACGTGATTCACTGCGTCAGGAGCGAAGCGGTGGCGGCGGTGGAGTACCAGGATCGCCAAGGGATCGAGGAGAATGCGGCATGCCGCCAGGCAGTCCGGGCGGCAACTCAAGCGGATCCCAATCCGCCTCGCCGTCGGTGCACCATCGTGCCAACTCAGGTCCGACCATTGCCATTATGTTCCACGATCCAGAGTCGAATAGTGGTGTGTGCATGCCCCTTAGAAACCCTGTAGAAGTCCAAAGAGATCATGTGAAAGCAAAAGTCGATGTGTTGAGAAGACACGGCTATATTTCTCATTGCATATAGTTCATCTTTTGAGCTATCTATATATATGTATGCTTTAAAAGATGTAAAAATTAGAAGTTTACCTTTACAAAACGTCGCTTTCGCCTATGATCTTATATTTTCTGAATAAATTTGAGCCTCAGCATTAACATATGTGTCTTCCTTGCAGTTGTGAATCCCAATGGCTCGCCCATGATGAACAACAGCAGTCCGGGCATGCCCGGTTCACCTTGCAATACACCTGGCGGTCAGCTGTGGAAAACACGACTCACCAACATCAAGAACAGTTTCCTGGGTAGTCCGCGTTTCCATCGCAGAAAAATGCAGGGTAAGTAATAATTTTGAAAATAATTAAAATTTTACTATAAATAAATAATGGTGTTATCCTTTAGTTTCTGCCGATGAGGTGCACTTAACGCCGGAGTCCTCCCCGGAGCTGACCAAGCGTTCCTGGTTTGGTAATCTCATAACAACCGAGAAGGATGAAACCTTTACGATTTTGGTCAAGGGGAAGCCCATTGCCACGGTCAAGGCGCATTTGATACACGCATTTTTATCCGTAAGTGTCATAAGATATTTAATGTAAATCTTTACAAAATACAGATTTCCCTTTTTCTCAAGATGGCTGAATTGTCGCATAGTGTGGTCTCGCCCACCTCGTTTCGGGTGGAGTACAAGAGGAATGGCAATGGACCCGTCATGTTCCAGCGCCATGTCAAATTCCAGGTGAGTGGCTTAGCTTTCTTTTCTAATGGTTTTTTTCTTTTGCTAATGGTTTTTGAACACCTTCCAGGTTGACATCAGTGCCATTTGCAAACAGGGCGACATAGCAGATATGTTGTTTGCTTTGACATTTACGCTGCTATCAGGTAAACAATAAGTGGTGCTATCAACGCACTGGGTAAACAGCCTAATTGACCTTCCCCTTTTCTTCCCCTCAGGTAATATTCGGCGTTTCCGTCGCATTTGCGAGCACATCCAGTCACAGGTGTGCTCCAAGAGGTTCCCGGGTCCCAGCAGTCCGCCGACGGTCACCAGTGTCACTCAGGCCGTGTCCGAGAGCTCCTCCTGCGGATCAGTATCCAGCGAGAGGTTATCCTACAAGCGTCAGGTGGTGAGTGCATTTCCTTTTATAGAAATAATAGATGTGGGTTTTAATAAACTAATTAGAAAATCCAAAATCAATTAGAACAGTGATGGAAAGTACTTGATAAACTCTTTGAGATCTAAAAATTAAAAATGTTAACTGGTTTATTTGTAAGGAGAGATTGGGCCAAGTCATCTCTGAGTTTTCAGACAAAGTTTGAGAAACACTTGTATAAGCTTTGGTGAAATTTTGGTTGCCCACTTTCCAAAACTTTTTAAATTGTTTTGACAAATCTCCATCGATTTATTTTATTATTATTTCTAAATGTAGTTTACAACTAACTGACTTTCTTTTAGATTGAAAGCGACATGGAGAACGATTCCATATTCTCCTACAAGTCGGGCAACGGCCGCAGGGCATCGACCACGAACAATAATAATGCCAATCCCGTTGACATTCCCGGCAGTCCCATTGCAGTACGATCCAAGTATGTAACATAAGAAATATTAAGAAAGTAAAATATAGTATCAGTAGTAAGTAAATTTAAAATATTATAAATAAAAAGCGCGATTCTCCTTATGATTTTTATCTAAAGAAAAAAGTAATTGAAATAAGTAAATAATCACATTAAATCACTTTAAATTCAAAGAAAATAGAAATGCTTTGTATCTAGTTTGATATACCTATCAATATTAATAATATTTAATATTTTTACCAGAAAACATACATTTTTAGAAAACATTTTGGCAAGCTTTACTTTTTCTTCTTATAGAAAGCCTTAGGCTTACATTTTAAAAACTGAAAATCAACACTAAACTGAACTCTGAAATTAAATTAATATATTTTAATAATAATTATTTTTATATATTTAAATACTAAATCATTTCCTTATTATTTTCCAGCTCTGAGACCGCTGAACACGAACGCAACCGCGAACTGCAGAGTGAGCGTCAGGCGACAACGATGTCCGGTAGTGCAATCGCATGAGAATTATTTCTCTGATTTAGTTACATTTTTCACCAGGATCTTAGTTTTGATATGGCACTAGTCAACAGCAACCGCAACCAGATATTGTATTCCAACTAGGGGACGCCGAGTCGTTAGCATTCGCTGGCCTCAAACTCAAACAGTATTTTTCCTAAAAACACCATCCGCCAGAGATATTCAAAAAATAAGTAAAAGCCACTCACACAAAAACTCCAGAATAATAATACCAAAGCAATAATAGTGGAATTTATATACACTAGCATATATAGTAAGTCGGGTCGATTGAACAGAACTTTGCTAGCTGCTCTAGCTTTTATCGAACCTGATTTTCGAGTTATTGTTGATTTTTTTGAGTGACTTTTTCGTAATGTTCTTTTTGATGGACATTGTTGCCGCCGCGCCTAAAAAGCTTGCAAATAAAAAACACCGTGTAAAAATATATAAAGATATATACAAAACAGAAGAAATCAAGTTAGCCCTAGCCTAAGTCGAAGCAGTTATTCTAGAGTCATTTTCTTTATCTAGACTAGTCCTCAAATTTAGCTACGCAAATGGAGTAGCAACACTCGTGAAAATTCGCCGACGATTTGTATAGAGTGTATAAAGGATATTACGCAAAATGCACTGATCTTTGACTACTTACTAAACGGAAACGGAAATTAAAGAAATATATAAACTTCAAAAAAACCGATAACTTTTGCATTAACTTAGCGTTGCTGTTTTTTCTAAAAAAATATTAAAAAAATAAAGAAATAAATAAATAAAAATCGATACAACTATTTTGCTAGCGAGACGAGAAACGCAAAAACTATTTTTCCTAAATAACAAAGAAGTACTATATATAAAACGCGTAAACTTTCAAACTTCAGACAAGCATATATGACGATCAAAAGAGTGTTGTGCGGTAGAGGAGCTCGGGATATAGCAGATATTGACAGACATTTATAATGTACATAAGGATACCGAATAACTAAGCAAAAGCACAGGAGCAAATGGCTAATAACCGATATACAGCACACTAAAGTAACGAAATTTCCAAGGAAATCATATATATTTTGCATGGGCATGAGATGAACAAAGCTTTCTTAACCAAATACTTGTATAAATAAACTGGGACGAAATATATATATCTATGTATAGAGTGGATCGGCGATTGTACAAATTGTTGAGTTGCACCAGCGACAAGAAGAGTAAAACCTAGGAGAGAAATTCAATTGGAATTTGTATGTATGTATATTTTTATTGGAAAGGAGAAGGCTTCTACAAGCTGTCCAAAAATGCACAAATCGCAGGGCTAAGCGTCTAAGCCAGATAGTGTTTCCTTCAGTCTAAAGAGCAGCCCCACAAAACAATCACATTGAATCGTTCCTTCCCTACCTACCCCAACTTTGAAGTGGTTTTTATAGTTTATAGCTTTTGGATTTTGTTGCCACCACCCAAGCCAATCAATCAGAGAGTCCTGTCTATAACACATACGATAATTTGAAACTAAAAGACTTAAGAAATCGACATAAAGCTAATGAAATCCAAACAAAACCGTCCATTTATCCACTTAAAGCTAAACAAACAAAATGTAATGGCAACTCAGCAATTTGTGGAATCAGCTGGAAGTACGGTGCGGAGTGTAAAGGGAGCCCCAATAATGTATGTGTATAATGTAAAAGGATATAGATCTATATACTGAAACTGTGTATGACAGCAATATCAAAATAGTCAGAGGGAGGATATACGATGTGAGGGCGGTACGATACTAAAACGTGATTAGAACAAATATTAAACCACAAATTACGAGTTAATAAATGCTTAATGATAAACCCAGTAAGGTCGCGTAAATCTAACAAATATATAAACGAACCTATTTAAAAAGTATTGAGACACTCACACAAAAACTCACAACAAATCATGCAATAATATTGAAATGAAATTACTTTTTAGCATTAACTACGATACATCAGATTATTTATCGCTCATCATATGGAAGATACTCAAGAGAAAACGCATTTAAGCTGAACATACATTCAAAATTAAGCTCACCGACTTAAAGAGAGAGAGATGACATTCATATATTTATACATGCATAAATCATATACACCACGTCGATCACGGAACTCGAAACTCTTTATACATATATTGTACAACATCCGACATATACCATATACTATATTCCGTGTTTACTTTCATATACAAGACAAGGTCCGCCAGCATATACCCACATATACGAAGTATACATCTATATGCATCGCCCCATACATCCAAAATATATATATTTACACACAAGCGCATTTAATACGAGTTTCAAGTACATTCGTCACCCAAATTCGGCTAGTTTTGTATCATAGGAAATGTAAAAATCATATTTTTCACTTGATACTAAATCGAATTATAAATACTAAACCCTAACTTAACCTTAAACGCTCTGCATACTAAGAAACCGATCGCAGTCTCGAGGATATACGTCAGACGACAATTGCTTTATATGGGAAGTACCCCGAAACGAATACAAAAATGAAAGCCCAATACTCAATGCTGCATTATGCCGCTGCCACGCCTACCTTTTTACCTTAACTGAAGCCTATACATACTACCAATTTTTCGCGCTCATCTCATCCTCAAAACTCAAAACTCAAAATCAACAACATAATCACCACCAAACCCAAGAACTAACTCATTTTAACTGCTTCAGCAGCGAATATTTGCGCCGAGATAATTTTATATGCCACGTATACATATATTTCTATCTATAGTATATATATACACCCCTATATATATATACACAAGCATTATACACCAGAGCAAGCGCTTTACTTCAAATGCAAATTCAAATGCAAATGCAAATGCAATGGAGGAGCTGTTTATTACTCATTACGAAATAAACGATTCGAATACTTATTAAAATAAATTTAGAGGGTAATGTTGTGTATTGTACTGCGCTTTTTACGTTGTTGATTTGGTTTCCTCCTCGGTTCCACCATATTATTACAGTAATATTGTAATTAGTTCTGCAACTGATTAAGGCTAAGTTATATAGTACTGCATCGTGCGCTTTGTTTTTCGTATCTACGGATATATAAGTTATACATTGTATTTTGTAATTTAATTTTAAGCTCGAGGAATATCGCGGAGTCAGGCCGGATTCACGGATGAACCATAAAAGAGATTAATATTGAAAGCAAAAAACACATTCTCGTTTAGGAGAAGCAACAAACCAAATAAGAAGAAACCCAACAAAAGTGCATCTGTTATTAGGTTAAAAGAATTATTGATATTGTTTGCAAGAAAATGTGTGAAATATATATATATATACATATATATATATATATAAATATAAATTAACATAACACTTAGCATAAAAAACAAACAGTGAACAAACAACAAATTGTAATTGCAATTTAAAAATAAAATTAATATTTCAAATAAAAAGGGAGAGGTTTTATTGGGCGGTCACAATTGTAGCCTTGGATTTTCGAACTTTTTAGATACATGTTTGTATATTTTCATCGACACTATGTTGATCCTATAAAAAACATAATAAAAAATCTCACCATTTTAAAAGAATTACATTTCTCAACAATATTATTTAATTCATTAACAAAAATACAAATTCAATATGTTGATTTATTAACCTTAAAAAAATAGCACAGAAAAGTTTTCGTATTTAAGTTGTTTTTAATTAGTTATGGTTTCTTTTAAGATTTTTTGTCTAAAATCTATAAAAATATTGATTTAAAGAATGCAAGTGATGGAATGATGGAAAATATGACAGCTATCTGATGGCCAAAAACGAATGATTGCCAAATGTTATACATATAACATATAATCCAATTCGACATTAAAATCTTTATTAGCTAAAAATAAAATATTAAAAATTATTGTTTTATACACTTTTTAGAACTTTCAAAATGTTGAAAATACTTTTTTTTTATAATTTTACAAAACGTTTTTTATAAATTTTAAATTTAACTAATTAAATTTTAGTATGAATATTAAATTGTTTACATATTATTTGCCTATTGAAGTTTTAAACATTGAAATTAGTAATGTTTTGATTTACCTCTTATTTAATTATGATTTTCCTAAAAAATTATATAATTGTGCTAAAAATACGACTTAGTGAAACATATTATTGAATATTAATGCTGTAATTATCCATTGAAGAAATGTTTTTGAGCCTAATAGAATCTCAAGGCAATTTATTGAAAATTATTGATATTTCTTAGTGACATTTTCCCTCTTCACATCCCACTGTGCGCCACGGTGCATCCGCAATGGATTGCGTCACTTTCCGCGCCGTGTCTCTTTCGGAACGGAGGCTGACCTCTCGGCTCGTCAGCTGTTTTTTTAGGGGCGCAGGACAGACAGCTGGCGAGGGCATGGCCGGGGTTGGGGATGTGGGCCAAACACCGCATGCATTTTGCGGCAATCAGCTGTGGAGCTTTCGTCACTCGGAAAAGCTGGTGGTCGGGCCAAGGAGCTTCCCGGAGAGCCATTGTCGAGCTTTGGCTCCGAAAAGACCCGAACAATGGGCGACATCGAAAAGCAAGCGGCGCACCAGAGACATTTCGGTGTCCGCCTCGCCTCGTCATCCTGCCGTTCCGTGAGTCCGAAAACGAGCAAAGAAAATGCATGAGAAGGAAAACTTGGTCAGTTGAGGGCTCAGTTCGGGTCGGGTTTGCAATTCAACAGCACTGCGAAGGCGGATAGATTCGCTCGTCACCACTGCGACGGGCCAAACAATAAGCGCCAGCCAGCGTAGTAATATCGACTTCACCTCTCCAGATATATGTATATATCATCATCATCGTATATCGGTGGCTAAAAGTAAGAAAACGGAATAAGAATCGGAATTAATATGCCAGGCCAAGTGGCAACCCAAGTGCTTCGGGAAATGATTGAAAAACGCATGGAAATTGCAATGTGCGATATTAAGTGTGCAGTTATGTTTTGAATTTTTAACGTCTCCCCGAACCCAGGTCCAAGCCGAAACGTGCTTCCATCTTCTTCTATTACCATTTTTTGTGCAGTGAGTGAGTGGTGAGCGAGTGAGTTATGTAAAGCTTCGGTGTTGGGTTCTTTCGGTGTTCCGTCGCCAGCAATAACAATAACCACAGCAGCAGCCGTGATGCCAGCAGAACTGCAACAATAACCACAGCGAGGAGCGTGTGAAGCGACAATAAGTGTTGCAAGATTGAGTGGCATCAAAAATAAAGAACGGTAATTAAAAATTAAAGGCGAGAGAATTAGTAAGCAAGGGACTTAAAAGCAGGGACTGTGTTAAGTATACGCACCGGTGGCCCACCGTTAATATATGCATTAAAATATAAAGTTATGACTAAATGCATGCGATGGGACCATCAATTAAGTAACTTAGAAAAACAGCATTTTTAAAAAAACTGTATATGGTTTAGACTTCAAACTCTAATTATTAAATAACTAAATAATTGAATACAGTTTAAAATAAAGTCTAATACGGAGTGATTATGAAATTATAATCCTTAAAAGTCTATGTCGACGGAATTAAGCTCCGAAAATGCCTATGTTAAATGTGCGTTAATGTTAAAATAAATATAATACAAAATACGTTTTCAAAATAATTTGAAAAAATATATAAATTGACGAAAAAGTGACTTACTATAAATGTAACTATAAATAAATAAAATAAAATAGTCGAGCAAAATAAACACAAATATAATTAAATTCATTAACAAAATTGAACTAAAAATTAATCTAAGAAGTTTTAAATTTATAAATAATACAAGAAAAGTCAGCTAAAAGCTCAAGCTCAGGAAAAACTCATTTCATTCCATGCAAAATAAACACTAAAAGTGTTTAATAGAGAAATACAGGCAGTACAATAAAACTAAAAGAAAGATATAATTAAGTAAAACCATTTTAAAATGGACTTCAAACTTAAAACTATATAAAGCTTATGTAAAACCCAGACCAAGCTAAGTAAAATCAATCAAAAGCCATTGAGTCTTTTCAATCCCCCGTAATTAGCCTGATGAGAGGGGGACTGTATCATAACACAATCAGTTTGGGTATCGGCATCAATTACCAATTATAACTTGACAATAAAATCGCCAAGTGTCCGCATGAAGAGCCCAAAACACACACACACACACGCACACACCAATCAATTCGCTTTTAGCGGTCTCTCTCCGACTATTTTTAGTTGCACTTGCTTTCCTCTTTTCTTGTTTTTGTTGCAATTTTTTTTTTACTTTGCTCAATATTAGTGTCAAGGTGCAGCCAGTGCATAGAGAGAGTGAGATAGAAATATAGAGTCTGAGACAGAGAGAGGGCGACCGCGGAGCCAAAAGAACAAGACACGAAAATGAAGAAGCAAGAAAGGTTGAGGGTAGAGTGTCTGGATCCTGAGATACCCTGGAGCAAGGATTATAGGGAAATAGGAAACTGTTTTATATTTAATATTAAGCTAAATCTTTTCATTCTAATATTTTAAAAATGGATTTTGGATTGGAATTGCATTAGCATCCCCTAACATAATTTCCCAAAGTTTTTGCCTAAAATACCCCATAAACTTTTCAAGTACAGGGTACCATATAAGAAACCAAGGGAACGGAGAGCACAAGAGGGCGGCGCCGACATCGCGAGAAAGCAACACACGAAAAGGTGGCTATCAAAAAATAATAACAACAAAAACAAAACACACAACAACAACAAGACGATGAGAAGAAGAAGCAGGCCACCGAAAGGGGGTGCTGGCGAATTAGGGGGTGCCCGCCCGTCACCCGAGTGGGTTGGCTCCTTCAAGACTTGTCACATCGAACAGAAAGAAATTGAATTTATGTCTTAGGTGGGTTGCCTTCAATGACAATTAGGCTGCTATACAGCCGCAGAGTCGTCGGGGGCCTATATATGCCATATAGTATACTACGTTGGGGTAACGCCTGAAACGCTGAAAGGCACAGGTAACGGCATAGGTATAGGTATAGGTCGTAGGAATAGGTAATGCCAAAAACCGTAACGACGGAGGAGCTGTGGCGCGTGTTTCGCTCGGTAAGGTAAATCGCGTTAGCAACAACAACAACAACTACAAAAATAACAGGAATACGCAGGACTCAGCTTTCTGGTTTTCTGGTTTCAGCTTTCAGGTTTCAGGCGACCCACATTACTTAAATTACGAACTACACGCAAAGTCGCCGAAAGCCCACACACAACTGGGAAAAGTCACACACGCTGGTTAGTCATTCCACTGGCAGGCAGTCAGTCAGTTAGTTAGTAAGTCAGTTCGTCAGTCAGTCAATCATTAGCCAAAATGCCTTATGAGTCAGCCAGTATGCGAACTACACTTGACCAAATCCTTAGGTGCTGCCTTACAAATAGTATCAGCGACTTGCATTCCGTTTAAGAAATAATGTGAAGGATTAAAAATAAATATTAGAAATAATATATTTTCAGGACAATTTTTTGTCATATATCATCTATCTTACTTAAAATATATTCTATTTACAATATTCCCCAAAATTACTCATTTTTTCCCCGAGTGCAGAGTCCTTGTCGAACGTTGCGTGCCTTTGGGTGGAGCCTTCGGAAAGAAAGAGTAGAAGAGGAACAATAGGATATATAGTACTACTGCGGAAGGGGAGGAAGACATGTTGCATATTTCTGGGCGTGTTGGCTGCTAGACAAAAATGTCGTTTTCAACGAAATTCCCGGCATTCCAATGCCGTGTTAAGGACAGACATTGAAACCGCGGCATTTGTCTGACCGCAGTAATGAGATGAAAAACACCAAAATATACTCAGCAGCAACGAATTTGTTTTTACAAAAAACAAAACAAAAAAACACAATTAAATTTAATTTAGTGTGAAACGGCGGCGGGTGTTCCTTGTTTCTTGGCTTGTTGAATACCAAAATATATATTCACACGAACACATGGTATATCTTTGGTGGGTTTTGCTTTGGTCTGAAGCTTCGCATTTTTGCATTTTCCCCTTTGCGCTGCTTTGGTTTATTTTTAACACATTTTCGGCAAAAGCGTGTGAAAATTCTGTAGCTTTCTTAACATTTTACATTGTCTGCTTGGGAAATGTGATAACAATATAGGAGAGAGATCATGAGATTATTTATGATCATGATCTCTTTTACACTAGACGACCTTGCTAAAATATATTTCCAAAAAACCACATTAAAGAGAGAACATGTGTAAAACGCATTCGTAAATACTTGGAGGAGACGCAATGCTATTTTGCATTCTCACCACATTGCCCCGAATGCTGGCACTAACGCTATTTTTATTTTTATTTAATTTCATTTTATTTAAGCGCACCATTTTC